TAGTCTCTCTCTCTCTCTCTCTCTCTCTCTCTCTCTCTCTCTCTCTCTCTCTCTCTCTCTCTCTCTCTCTCTCACATATATATATATATACCTACTTGCGCCCTTACAAATTATTGTTCAAACTATTCTCCCCATCCAACACAATTTAGCCTAGAGTTATGGTTTGTTTTGTCATATAGATCTAGGTGGTTATTTGCTGCGGCCCAGTCCATCTGGGCCTTTCTAGGTTACTTAATGGTAACAGCATCCCAGAGGACAGGCGTTAGGAGCTTCTTAATTAAAGAACTAGAACTTTCCGATCTGGAACTAGAACTGACGTCTTCTGAATGTAACGGCGAAAACCCTGACTAAGTGACAATAGAGTGAAGGACACATAGGCTACCAGATCTATGTCTAGATCTAGTAATAACGGGCAACAATATCAACAACAAAAACAATAACAACGACAATAACAACATTTTAACGCAATAACAACAACAACAACGGCCGACAACAACAATGTAACAACAACAAAAACAAGGAAAAGAACAACAACAACAAACAACAACAACACTGTATTTCAGAAATTTCAAACAGAAAGTCTAGAGATCTAGATATATATAAATCTAGATATTAGATTCTAGAAAAAGCCGGTTTTGATGCCCGACGATGAAATTGAAAAACAAATTAAATACAGAGACGAACCCGCCTCTTGATCACTTACCTCTCAAGTTAACGAAAATTATCTCCAATCACAAATTAGACGTAGAATCTAGAATCTGGATCTAGAGTCTAGATTCTAGATCTAAATGCCAAACAGCTGTGTTTGTAGTATTGCTGTAAACAACACAACAGTCTGTAATTCCTTGAATTGCGTTGATTACAGCGACAAAGCACTTGTATGGATTGAAAAGCCAGGCACTGCGTGTTTTTTTAGGCCAGAGCCAGTTTCCGGAATAAATTAAAAATTATATAAAAACAACACCGATGTTTAATTCACACTTTCCCAAGCGAAGCAAATTCAGCCAGTTGAATGTCTCTACGGTGAGTGAAGCTTTGCACCACATTCCGTGCCCCAGGTTGTATTTCTCCTTTTCTACGCGCGCGCGCTCTCTCTCGCTCGCTCTCTCTCTCTCTCTCTCTCTCTCTCTCTCTCTCGCTCTCTCTCTCTCCTTCTCTTTCTATCCAGCGAGATTCTATTATAATCTTTGTAGTTTCTCCCTCATCCTGTCATCATAGCTCGCCGCGCTGTGTGTAGAGTGTAGACAGACACTGTCAGACACAGACAGAACAAGCGACGAGCTGAGTGAGGTCTATCCTTTTGAGCGCCAAGTTGTCACCAGGCTGACTCGGAGGGAAGAATAGAGAACGTTAGTGGAAACTGCCAGCGATAAAATTCTTGCTGAATGAATTCCCCCTCCTCCTCCTCCTCCTCCTCCTCCCCCTGTCTCGCCCGCCCATCGCTGGCTCGTTCGTCGCTCGCTCGCTCTGACCGCTTTCTGACCTGCTGAAAAGTGCGACCGACCTCCCTGCACTTTAACGGAGTGCACTTTAACAACAGACAGCTGGGGTGAAGTATGGTACTCCGTCGGCACACTGTTTGTGAAAAAGAGAGCTCTGGACTATTCGGTACGTATTTCGAATATTTAGAAACCGGATCCAAAGGAAGTGTGCTAGAGAATGAAATCTCGGTGCACCAGTCGATATATTTTTGTAAAAGTGCAACGTCTGGAATACAACATAACGAGGTCCTGAATCTTTTAGTAAAAATATAACAGTACTGTCGCTGTCAGGCACTTTCTCTGAGTGCTTAAAAAGTCCCGACATAAGCTCGGCTTGAAACGTTGTGCCTCATGGGTCTTTTTATCAATAAAATTCACAGTCTATCTGTTGAAACGTTGCATTCCCATACAGCCCAGGGTGGCTTTGACAAAAAGGGACAAAGCACCCCCTCCCCAAAAAGATCTGAATATTATTTTGTGGATTTGAGTCGGGGATGGGGAGGGGGGGGGGGGATCTACAATTGTTACAACCCACAGCCTCCGTTCAGCGATGAGCTTCTATTTTACAAGGAATAGTCTAGATAGCATTGCCCTATGCCTGATGGTTCTAAAATGAGAGGCAAATTGACTGCACTTTTATAACTTCGGGCCTTTCTTCATCTTTCTTCTTTTTTTTCATTAAAAAAAGAAAAACGAAACACCCGTTACAATCCATAAACCCTTTTAAATGGCTTTAACAATGGCATTCTACCCAAATTCCTAAGTAGTGTACTGAGATTCTGAGATAAAAAAACGAGACTTTTCCAGGTTACAAACTTTCGAAGAGCAAGAGCCCTGGTCGAATAATAGTCCTGACTGGTGGATTAGTGAGTCACTGTATTCGAATCTGCTGTCTGTCTTCTTCCAACAATGCACCGGAGCAAAAGAAGGAGGTGGTTAAGTGGGCTGCGTTAGGGCTGGACAATGAGTCTCTTTAACAAAATCCGGATAATATTATGTTAGTGCACCTCTTCGGCAAATAATTATGATATGATCGAGCGGCTTCGTCAAACGGGTGAGAATCACTTCAACAAAAAGGTTAGCATCACTTCAACAAATGGGTGCACCCTCTTCGGCAAACGGATCAGAAAAGAGAGTTAGGGGTCTGAATTCGGACAGCGTTTCATTTATGTTTATCCGGTTATTCGGATAGATTATATGGATTTTGCCGTTTCCCTTTTTCCTGCGTTCTCAAATGTCAGTGCTGTTACGCTGTGCGTTGTTCTATTAGAATACAAGACGCTCCCATAACAAGATTATAATTCAGTGTATATTCAGACGTTTTGTTTTGTTTTTTTTAGTGGGGAGGAGGGTGGTTCGGGGACGGAGGTGGAGGGGGGAATGGGTTTTTTTGTTTTTTGTTTTAGCACGAGTTAAACATCCTTCCTGGCAAACTCGATGAGCGGTTTGCGAACAGACAGAAAGACCAGTCTGGCAATATATAGTACTCTAAGGTCAATTTATAGAACAAACGTACAAGCAGGTGAAAAGATAAAGGAAATTCTTGCACTTTTAATTTTAGTAATGCTGGTGTTTCGCAACTCCGTAGACACAGTTTGGGGGCTCTCGTGGCCTAGAGGTTAAGGTGTTGGCCTCTCATTCAAAAGGTCCCGGGTTCGAATCCCGGTAGCGACCGAAAAATTTTCTTCTCTAAAATTGTCTCCTTTCACCTCCTTTCC